AAAATTGATAACTCTTCTTTGCATGTTTAAAATGTGTATGCATGTTAAAAAACATAAAACATACTTTAAATCTGGTTGTCCACCTGACGAATACCTGTTTAGGCTGGGAAATAGCCCTCTAAGTGACGTTCAAGACGCCCTTATAGACGAGTGACGGGTTCTATACATTCGGGTGACCGAGTAGCCTTCGTGGACCCTCGAGAATAAATATACAGCTGAGTCTAGTCCCATACGAGCGCCTGTGGTCCCCCTCATCTGAATCTTTTTTTTTTTATCGAAGTTTTGGGACAGGGCACGGACACTCGTGTTACTTTTCCTTTCTTTCGGGATTTACCCAGAAGTTTTGAGGATTTTCTTTTACTTGAGCCTTTTTCGTTGATTTTTCTTGAGTTTTCTGCTTTTTCTCGGATTTTCTGGATGACATTTTCATCCGGACTTTGCTTTTTGAGATGCATTTAGGCTTGCTATACTTAAGGAACATCGGATCTCACGGGTGTACAGGTTTGCTTTACATTTTACAGCACTTAATTTTCCTATTTCTACCTGCTACCGTATTGTACAGCACTTAATTGTCCTGTTTCTACCTGCTACCGTACTCTACAGCATGTTATACTTGTCTTGTTTCTACCCGCTACCATACTGTACAACATGTTACACTTGTCATGTTTCTACCTGCTACCGTACTCTATAACATGTTATAATTTTCCCATAGCATGTTATACTGCTCTTGTTTCTACATGATATTGTTCCACATGCATCCTGCTGTTTGTCATGTATTGCACATTTTATATTATATAGCTTTAAGCAAGCCTTCTTTTATATAGGATGGTTTAGAGGACAATAACCATATGACCGTTTGATTTAACATCGTAACTGGATACCCTAGAAAACTTAAATTCGTCACGTCGAGGAGCTTGGAGCTAGCGCGGTGGGCAGCACGACCATCTTCAACAGCAGAACATGTCTTCCTCAGCTAAATCATTCATTTCCTAGAAATTATAAGCCATAGGATTTCGAGGTTGTTTTCCTAGCGCAACATAAATCCTCCACCTTTTCTTTAGTCATTCGTTTAGCTCTACTGTACGATTTAAGCTCTAACTCGTTCTAGGTTCTGAGGTTGTCGTCGATACGACGTAAACCCTCATATCTTCTAGGCAATTTGTGTGGCCCTGTCACGCAAATATAAGCTCTAATTAAATAAAATTGGCAGGATGAAACACTTTAATAATGTCTTCTTAAGGCTGAAGCCAAACCATAGGATAGACTGGGAACCTACTGAGATTCGTCTCCGGATCCATGACCTCCCCTAGTTTCTCTCCATTTGGATTCCTCAACATTGTTCCAGATTCGAGCATTTCCCCCTTCATACC